CCATGCGCCCGGCCCCGGACAAAGAGGCCCCGGCCAAGCCTCCCGATTTTCCCGGACATGCCCGGCTTTTGGGGATTTCCCCCCGGACGGGGATTTGAGCCCCCAAAAGCCGGACATGTCCGGGAAAATCCGGACGTATGGTAACCCTATTTCACCTGGCCTCTAACCCCTTCCTGGATTCTCACGTTACATGCTCAGGTATCTTCCCTCAAGGCCAGTCTCCCATCCCCCAATGCAGACCGTCCTAGCCAACCCCCCCTGGCTTCCCAGCCAACACTCCCGACTCAGCATTCAAAGACCACATTAAGAACAGTCCCAGTTCGTCACACTCCCTTACACCATTCCTTGCAATGATTTATACTGGGAGAAACGGGGGGGTTGAGCTTCCCAGCAGTCAGCACTTCACTATTTCCTAGAAAGAATAATCTTGCTGGGCTACAGCACAGCTGCGAGGGCTGAGTGGCTTACTCCTAAGCGTTCCATTTCTTAGACAATACTAAGCCAACATTGAAACAGCATTGCCATGGAAAAGTGAAAGCAGAAGAGAACACATTGTCCACCAGTAACTATGTGGAAACAAAATCCTCAGCGTCTGGTTGCTAAGACAATTCTTTGGTTACTAAGAGAAAAGTGGCTCCATTTGAATTGATTCATATGTAGTTGAACAAGGAAGTTCAGTGTATGAAAAGCAACAAGGCTACTTAAAAGCAATCTCCTTATTCAGGGATAAAGGGATCTTTCCCCCAAGTACAGCTAGAAAAGGATTTCAATGACCCTTTGGTAACCCATGGGAAAAATTCCCTCAGTTCACAGTCAAGCCTAAGACTACTATGGCCCTTTATCAATGTATAGAACAGAATAACCTCTACTCTACTTCTGAGGTTTTGCTGACATTGAGTAATTTCATATGTCATTAGCTTACTGGGCTTTACTCTCCTAATGCAGAAGAAGCCATGACAGTGATGTTATTAAAGCTTTTGCTACCTTTGCTACATTTGGAAGCCAGTTGCAGTAAGAGTACAAAAACCATCAAGTTGGGAAAAATGAAAATTGGAATCACAAAAATTATGTTGAAGGCTACAAATAAGTGATGTTTTAAGCTGAGAACTGTGTATTGTGACAGGACAGTGATGTAGGGAGAGCATATACATGTCTTCTGTAATGCCATAGATCAGTGTGACTGCACTGGGGAGTCATGTTGCCAAGGCATGATATTGTAATTAAGTATGATTTCCATTTTCCTTTCTTTAATCAATTTTCTCTTTCTTTTTCAGGCACGAGGAGAAAGAAACTCATGACCCGATTCTGGCCCCATGTTCCATCCCATGTGTGTTGCTTTGATGGAACAAAAGGGATGATTGGCTTCTAATGGGCCAGCTAGAGATTCTCCTCATAAAGGAATAAAGTCTGTATCGCTGACTTTCACTGACTTTTGGCTCCTTTGTCATAGCGCTGTGTTGTGGGTGGGCTGGAAAAAAGTGGGGATATAGCAGGGAGTGCTTTGTGTGTCAAGAACCCCTGGCTGGCAGCATGGTCCCTAGAGAACTGATCCTGCAGGAATAACTGAGAACAGCCTAAATTATAGCCTGGGGCTGACCTACCCATATTTCCCCCACTGGTCTGATCCCAAGAATCTGCCGCCACATGTTTTGAAGGTCTTTTGAAGTAAGTTGTATAGTGAGAGAGAAACTTCCAAAAACCAGCCTTTAAAATTGCTCCCATAGTTGTTCATGACAAAAATCTCCCCATAAGCCCACTGGCATGTGAGACTAGGATAGCCAAAAACTTCCTACTATTTGCAAATGTAGGTCTGCCATGCAAATAATTGTATGTGCAAAATTGGGGGTTTCAATGTCAGAGGAGGATTTGACCTGCAAGCAGATGGTTCCTGCAGCATCCATCTACTTCCTGTAGACCTGCTGTGATATTTTCAAACAGGAAGCACATTTGGACAACTTGACCTTAAAGTAATTTTATTCTTCCCTGATAAGATGGCATGCTGCATGCAAACGTAAAAATAAATACAAATGGTGGGAAGTTAAAAGCTCTACATTCCTCCTGCTTCCAGGCCCAGTGTGTAGTTTTCATACTGCTGTTCCTCAGGCAAGGGTCACAAACTAGGCATTAACAGTTCATAAGACAAATATGCTTCTCATATAGCACACTCAGCTCTGATCTAAGCCAAAATAAACAATCGCTCGCTTTCATTTTCCTTCTGTCTGTTATTACTTTTCTCTTAACTCTTTTTCTCTCATGCCTATTTTCTGTTTGTCTTTGTCCATTCATCAACTCTTCTTAATCCCTTTTTGCCAAATATTTGCCATGCATCTCTTTCTGCCTTGTGCTATCCCAGCATCTTTTCTCTCCTGTTTGTCTCTCTCACGCCTGCCTTCTTGAATGCTAGCCTAGCACTCTTGCTATCTCCACTACCATTTCTCTTCCTGCAACCATACATATGTGTCTTTTGCTGCATCTCAAAATTAATGGCCCATGTCTCTGTTTGCATCCTTCCTTTCATGTGGCATTGATCTGTTTGACTGCCCCATTTTCATTGGCTTTTGAGTTTGTTTCTGCCAGTTAATGTTTATTGAGCTTCTTTGACTCAGTCATCTTTAATTAACTGCATTTTTCCCTCTTCATGTCTTACCATTGGTGGAGGCCCTTGCTATTGAGACTCTGAGTGCAAATTATGTGTCACACCCAGCCATCTTGTCTCCTTCTGCTACAGTGAGTTGGCCGGGGTTGTACAGAGCATCTTACATAGTGCCAATAGTGGGCTTTGTGCTTGACAAACTAAGTAGGAACACAGGGTCTCTCCCTAAAAGAATCTACAATCTGCTGAAAGAGGCTGCTGGCTAGACTGTAACAAGAAACAATGACTGAGTTGAGGAATCACAGCAAGTTCCACGATTTCTGTTTAGATGTTTTGTTTGTTTGTTTGTTTGTTTGTTTTAATATTGATTTCACCTATTTAGTTGACCCTACTTTTGTGCAAGCACTTTTGCTCTTTTCACTGCTAACATTCATCTGCTGTATCAGGTGTTCTGTGATGGGGGTTCAGTCTCTGCTCTAGTTGCCGGAAGCATAAACATGCATCCCTAGTAAGTCTCAAACTTAGCAGTATCTCTTTTTTCTGTCATATAGAGTCAGTAAGCCTTATCCATAGCTGCACTGTCATGTCTATGACATCAGCAGCATTCTAGATTAGGAGCAACCTATTTTCAGGGCAGTTGTGTGACTAGCAGCATAGATTAAATGCATGCAGTAGCTCAGTGCTTCTCCAGTATTTCCTTTCTGCAGGCCAGTTTGTAAAGGAGTGATCCTCTCTGTGCTTCTCCCATCACAACACCCTGATCCACCACTTTGTGGTTCTCAAAAAGTTTCATTCATTGGACCCCTGTGAAGAATTGACCACTGGTGGTCCATAAAACACAGTTTGAAAGTCCCATATTAGCTAATGTAATTTTAAGATTGAGAATGCAGGGTCCTCCACTCTCCCCCAAAAGATATGTCAATGAGTAGATAAAGGACAGCAGTATTCTTGAACTAGACTAAAATTTCCTTCCAGGGTGCTTGGAGCAGTGGATAGGCCCACCAAAAATGAAAAAGAGCCCACCTGTTTGCTCCACTTCAACATCTAGCTAAATATGTTCTATCTTCTTACTGAAGAGAGAGACTCTATAGTCATCCCTTGAAATGTCAAACTAATTCTCTTTTAAATTAAGATCCAAATCTGTGATCTGTTTTACAGTAAAGTTGTCTTAGAAAGGAAGTCTGTTAGTGTCTCCAAGAATACTTAGAAAACAAAAATAATCTTTTGTCTGAAAGTTCTCAGCCAGGCAGAAAGGAATACACTTTAGAGTTTTCACATTAAAAAATAGATCCTAGATTACATTTTTACATAGGAATTACACACTAGATCACACCAATGATCCATCAAATTCAGCATCCTATGGTGGTCAGTACCAGATGCTTCAGGGAAGGGCACAAAAAAACTCTTGTGAAAAATTATGGAACATCTGTTTTTTCCCAGCCCTGACAGTTAGTGGTTGGCTTATGCCCTGAAGCATGAGCATTTTATCTTTTATGATA